AAATCCTTCTACATATGAAAATCTTGGAACAATATAGTTAGAAGCTAAACTTTTTGTAAAGATATTATTTTTACTTCAAACTGTTTCTTAAGATTGTTTCCAGATAGGCACTTTAAAAGTTTTCAGAATATCCTATAAGATAACAATTATACACACTGAAACATCTTATTGCCTACGTGTTTATTTATGAAAAGCTCTCTTGAGCAATTTGAAAAATGTGGGTAAAAGTAAACCTGACATTTTAAAATTAAGAAGAAAATAATAATTTTTGACCAATCATCTCTTGAATATACGAGGAATTTTATACTAGTAGCAAACTCAGTTGCTACTCGTATTTCTAACTTTTTGTTTTGAATGAAGTTGAATAAGCTTCTTTAGTCACAATAACCATATACAAGTAAAACATTTGAAATTTGAAGAAACTGGTGAAAACAAATATTTAAAACATTTATAGAAAATAGACTTTGTAATCTCGGGTGTAGATTACATTCTGTGCAGTGCGCCATCTTTGTCGAATCAACCTTTGTAAGGTCATTATCATATATTCTTTTTTTTTTTAAATATTTTCTGTTATAGAGTGTTTTTGTAATAACTTACGCAACTCACTCAAAATGAAGTTCGAATATCTCGGGGTCTAATTATTCATTTCGTTCGTAAAATTGTATTTCTTTAATCCTAGATTAGTGAATCTTTGTAAGTCCTTCTAATATGTATTTACCTTGATGCATCTTTTGACATGTCTATTTCTGATACTTCTTTCCTGTATGTCCTTCTGTAATACACCTGAAATATATTTCTTTTTTTTTAACAAAAAAATTTTCCTTTTATTTTTTTATCATTATAATTGTTTAGAATCAACCGAAACAAGGTCGCCATTCCTAAAACACCAAACATTACATTCAATTTCATTCAATTTTCTTTCAATTTTCGTCGTATGTCTAGGTTTATATCATGTTCTTTGTTAACATTTTGCAATAGCAAAAGTAATTTTTACATTCTTTTTTTTTTACCCTTATTTCATAACAAGTTATAAAAGTTAAATAATAATGATGCCATGCAAAGTTACTTCAAATAAGTGACCTTGACCTTTTAGATGAACCATTCTAGAAGTTGCGAATGCATTTTTTATTATTTTAATTCAATTTTGCAAAAATATTTCAAAAACAAAAATAGCTTTTATTTTATTTTTCTTTACGCATTATAATAATCTATAGTAGTTTGATACTGAAAATAGCATTCAAAGTTAATACAATTTTATGAACTTAAACAAACTAATGAATTCTAGAATAAATAATCAATAATACTTTTTTAAAGTTGTGAACTTACTTCTCATAACTATATATTTTAATTTTATATATTTTTTATTTTTTTAACCAAAAATTACTTTTATCTTCATTTATTAAAGTTTAAATATAATGTGTAATAGTTAGGTAATTATGATATCGTGCAAGGTCAATACGATTTAATGATGCAAAATAAAGGAATTCTAATAAAAGTAAGTCAATAACACCTTTTATAAGTTCAAACTATGAACTTAAAGTCCAATTGCTACCTTAGTTTTATTATTTTGTTACCAAATACTATGATTGTGAAGTTTTTTACCTCCATTTTTATAACAATTTATATTAGATAGGTAATAATAATATCAATACAATTTAATGACTTAAAGTAATGATATTCCGAACGAAATGATCATGAACATTTTTTAGAAGTATTAAAATTATTCATCATATGAACTTACTCAAGTTTAGTAGTTACCTTTTAATATTTTTATTTAACAAAATATACAACGATCGTGAAAATGTTTCATGTTTTTCCCCTCTATTTTTATAAAAGTTTATTATAGATAGATAATGACGATATCAATACTGTTTAATGACTTCAAATAAATAAATTCCAGATTAAATAATCAATAACACCCTTTAGAAATTATAAAATTGTTCAAGATATGAATTTACTCAAGTTCAACCGTTATCTTACTTTTATTATCTTTATTTCACCAAATACAACAATGGTGAAAATTCTCTGTTTTTTCATTAATTTTTATAACAGTTTATAATAGATAGATAATGACGATATCATGCAAAATAAATACAATTTAATGACTTCAAATAAATGAATTCAGGACTATCTCATCAATAACACCTTTTTGAAGTTGTGAAATTATTTAAAATATGTACTTAATAAAATTTAGTTAATACTTACTTTTATTATTTTTATTTCACCAAATACTAGAGTGAAAATACCTTATTGTTTTCCCCTCCATTAGTATATCAATTTATAATACATAGAAAATGACACTGTCAATACAATTTAATGACTTCAAATAAGTTAATTCTAGACTAAATAATGAATAACACCTATTACATTGTGCGTAACGTTTTTAAAAAATTCTTATTTTCAATTTTCCTTTTTTAAAAGCCTTTAGAGGTGCTTTTAAAAAGTCCTTAATTTTCCCTTTTCGAAAATGGGATTTTTTTTCCTTACCATGTCGATTTTCGCCACGTATTATGCAAAAGCGTGGTTTTCACATTGTTCTATTCAACGTTTTGCTCAACTCATTCAAACACAATCTATTTTGGCGACTAGTCATTTTATCATGATCATCTAAAGTCTTAGAAAATTATTTTGCATTTTGTTAATGTGTATAGTCATTAAAAATATTTTTTGTGCGCTCAAAAAGTACTTAAAAGTTGCTTATTTTTCGTTGAAAATTTGGCTATTGGTATTAGAAGCTTTAAAATTATCCAAGTTGTGAACTTACTCAAAACTAGTTGCTACTTTGTTTATTATTATTTTTGCTTAAGATTTCTACAACTAAAATAACTTTTAAGGTTTTTCCCCGTCCTTCTACACAATTTATAATACGGTGACGTGCAAAATCAATATAATTTAGTGACACCAAATAAATCGATTCTAGGATAAATAATCGATTACACCTTTTATAAGTTGTAAATTCACTCAAGTGAATGTGACTGCAGGAGAAGGAATAAAATAATGGCTGTTAGCTCTGTGAAAAATCTTTTCTTGCCTCCTTCGGCCCCTAATACTTTGAAATTGATCATGTAATTCTCTCTAACCCGGAAATTGAATGCTAGCTCGTAAAATTTATTACCACTGGATCGGATACTGGGAAACACTCTGACCATTACTTAACGCGTTTGCTTTTTTTTTTCTGTCAGAAAGATAACTTAACCATTGTGAGAATCTGTCTGTTTCTCTTCCATTAAATTATATATTTGTTTTTATGTGTCATTTATTTATTTAGGTTAACTGTTAATTTAAAACGATTTTATTTTTGCTTCACAAAATTGTTCAATACGGTTTAGAATTTATATACGCATTTTATACTCTCGTTAAACGTGAGACACTGATAAAAAAAAGGTAATTTTAAAGTATGCGATGAAATTTATTATTTTTGTTACGAGCATAAAAACAATATTCTCAAAAAAGGAGTTCGAGGTTCCATTATGTCATTCAGATTTGAAACGAAGATACTACCATTTTGATCGTAAAACTTCGCATCAAAAACTACGCTTTGATTTATAATTTTTAATTTATGCTCGTGAGTATTTATACTTCTTTTTTTGCATGAAGAATTTAAACCGATTCTTCAATTACAATATTAGAAATACTATAATCAATAATTCTGCGGTGTAACTACCACTACAATTATTAAATATCAATTCACTAATGTATAAGACATGCTAACTCGATTCTGTCATGAGGTACCTTTTGATAGATGAAGGTTGACATTGTCTAATGGTCTTTCCCCACATTGGTGACCTGCTGACGTGCTACGCGTACTTTGATGAATGATTTACAGTGAACAGTTGACTTGCTATTTGTGACTGCATCATCGTCCTCCTCGCACTGTTGCTTCTCAGTCTCATTTACACATGTAAGATTCCTGTACACACTTGACTGCTAATAGCAACACAGGAGAGATCACACGCACAACCATGAACTTAATGCAGCTCTTATGGCAAAAGCTCAAAAATCCGGTGACCTTACTCCAGCTCTCCCTGTCTTTCACAAATACTGAAACTAGTGGTATCCGTTCATCGAATTCTATCCCTGATAAAATTCTGGTTGGGGACTATTGTGGCGTAACTACCACTACAATTATTAAATAACAATTTACTGGTATATAAGACATGCTAACTTGAATCAATCTTGAGGTTAATTTTGATAGATGAAGGTTGGCATTGTCTAATGGTCCTTCCCCACAATTCCTTGAAAAATATTGGTTTCACAGACTCAAAGAATTCATTAAAATTGACGAAACTAACCATATACTTAAAAGAATTCCTTGAAAACTGTTTACTTAGACCAAACCAAGTTATAAGTTTTATTCTCCAATTACTATATTAACATAACCAAAATGGATTGCTCGAAAAAATTGCTTTTTTACACTACACCGAATTGATAAAATTGACTCAACCAATTCTTTAACCGACATTAAAAGTAATTCCTGGAAAAAATTGGTTCTCAAGACTAAACCAAATTTATTAAAGTCATTAACCAATTACGATATTGGCAACACTGTAAATATTCCGTATCAAATTATAGTAAAAAATACCGACTTTTATCAGGGTGTCGATACTTTTTACTGTTACGTCCATTTTTGCCGGAACATGTTACGGAACAAAAAATCTGATGTACCGTCATTTTTATAGTCTTAAACGTAATTTTACAATCACTGAATTATTACATAAATATTAAGTATAATTCATGGTATAATATTGTAATGTAAAAATGGATTTTAAGGAGGATGAACCCAAATTGCTGGTACTTTAAACCGTACTTTTGAGCCGAAATTACACCAAAAGAGAATGCGTAGAAAAAAAATTGGTTTTCTAGACTAAGCCAAGTTAATAAACTTTATTAAATTTTTCTCCAATAACGATACTTACTAAACAAAAATTGATTACATGCATTAATACATTTATGATTTTAGTGCTCTTTTGACTTAAAGTGTTATTTTCTATATTATCTAGTCACGTGAACAAGACGACCACATCTGAAGATCCAAGAAAAGATTTAGATGAAGAGCCTCCTCAACCCAGGGACGTGGAGCTCATCAGAGATCCCCAAAAGGGATTTGGTTTCGTTGCTGGGAGTGAAAAACCCGTCATCGTCAGATTTGTCACTGAAGGTTTGATAAAAGTTCTACTTCCTTTTTTTCTTTTTCTTCATATTTTCGCCTTCTTATCAGCGATGAAAAGTCTGATAAAATTGAACAAAAATGATTTAGGTTTTGCGAAATCGAGTTTTGAGAACTCTTATGATTTTCTCTGATTATTTTGTGGCCAGCGAGCGTAATAAATTTGGTAGCCTTTCTAACTTCTTTATCGTTAAGGAAATAAATTAGTCATAAAATCTTTAAAATCTATAGAGGGAATATGTAATGATGTTAGTGTATCTATGTCTAATTTTGAAAGGAAATGGTGGCATTACGATATTCATTGGGAAGGTACAAACTAAGCCCTCGAATGCAAGAGAAAATTTTTATAAATTTTAAAGGTTAAGCACTTTTATTTCTAATTCTATACCAAAAATTCACGTTCTTTCTTTTAAAACACAACCTTACACATTTCTTAAGAAAATTCAAGTAAACGTTGCCAATTTATTACATTTAATAAATTTTTGATTTTTAAAAAACTATATATATTTATTTTATGTTTTAAATATGTTATTATTTTGCATAAATTTAAAATAACTTATGCTTATTTAACATTTATGCACCGTGAAAAATTCGGGCTCAAATTACGGTAAAGATGCCGGTACTTTTTACCATAAAAGCCATTTTTACCAGATCATGTTACGCAACAAAAAACCTGATATACCGAAAATTTTACAGTAATAATTACAGAAAATTACTGAATCACTGTAATTAAATAAATATTACTGAATAAATTACGGTATAATATTTTATGGTAAAAATGGATTTTACTGATGACGCACCCAAAGTACCGGTAATACCGTAGTTTGATTAGAAATGTTTTGTAGTGCAGATTTATTCCTATTTAACTGAATGCAACAGTTGAATGATTCGTGGTTATTTTCTTATATTCAGAAATTCAAATCGGATCAATAACTGTATACCATCATCAACTTTCGTATGACGTATACAAGGTGATCTGCAATTTCATTTTTAAAAAAAAATTGAAAAATGGTAGTCAAAAAAATAAAATCAGATTAGAGATTCTAAATAAATATTTAAATGGGGACAAATAGTAAAACAATTGACGAACAATTATTTAGGTCAATCAATGCAAATAAAGAATTAAAAGTATATGCAATAATTTATTAGATGGAAGAAAATTGAAAGGCATATTTTTTCACAAGGATTGCTATTTGCTTAATACGGCAAAAACTGGTTTTACTCTGTTTATGACTTTATTATTGTATGACTATTTATTGCATGGCTTTAATACAGATATTCTGAAAATAGCAACTTTATCTTACAAAGCAGTAATAAAAACAATTCGGATCAACGACACTTTCTTTAAAAAAATAGTTTATAAAAGTTGATGTCAAAAAGTGCTTGTTTAAATGGGGAATGGAGTGAGAAATATGAGTTTTATGGAAACGCTCGAAATATCTTTTTCCTTATTCACTTATTTTTTAAAAGACTTATTCCCATTGGAACTGTTACTAAAGTAAATATAACTGATTTAGTAAAATATACATGATAGCAAAAACAATTTTGCAAAAGTTTTAGCTCACAAATTCTTTTGTAATAGTTTTAAGCTTTCTTAAACGTAGCTAAACTGACAGTCGTTTCCTTTTGCAGTGTGTTTATTTTTCTATTTTTGTTCATAAAATAAAAACGGTAACAATCCTTTTAAAAAAGAAGCAAAAATACTTGTTTTATTACCTGGGAGACATATGCTTTTAAGCATATCGGAAACATGACCTTTTTATTTTATATGTTGTTTTAGAACATTTTTTCTCGTGTATTTTTGTCTGAGTATTTAGAATATTTGAAAATAATTTATGTTAAATGCAATTGATGGTGTGTTGTTTCTTTTATTTCATTTTTTACATTGAAATTTTCAACAAAAACAAAATAAATTCTAACTAATCAGAAATTTCTACAGATTCAATACCAAAAATTTAGATGTGTCTCTATTATTGAAACATTTAAATTATTCGGATTTTATTTAATGTAGTTTTTCTCAGAATTTTTTTAAATTAAAGAAGATATGCATCAGGGATCCCATTCAGTGAGCTGAGAATAAATTTGCATAAGCGTGAATAATGCCTGTCTCTGAGTTAGTAAGAAGAAAAAAGAGCAGAAAAAAATGAATTTTTAAATGACGTAGTTAACTTTTGTCTTAAAAGATGTCAAAGTATTGAACAACCAATTCACATAACTAAAATGCAAACGTTTTCAAGTTGAACTAATGCATGTTTATCTGCTTCTTAACCAGAAGACAAGCTTGCTCCTAAATCAAATATTAAACAAACTTGCCTAACTAATTTCACCAAACAAACATTCAATAAACTTGACTTTATTGAATGTTTGTTTGGGGAAATTAATTCCCATGTCAGATACATGGAGAGAGAAACCGAAATACCTCTCTACAGCAACGATATTGGAACCAATATGTAGTCCAAGATGCATCTACCATGGACTACAGCACTGTTGTCAGAATCAGTTTGGAACCCAATCAAATGAACCTATTATGGATAACTCTAGAGCCAAAGATACATAGACTACAGCAAAGCTGTCGGAATCAGTTTACAATCCAGTCAAATCAACTTGTTGTGGATAACTCTAGAGCCAAGATACCATGGACTTCAGCACAACTGAGTCCTTATCAGTTTGCAACCTAATCAAATGAACGCGTTCTGGATAACTCAAGAGCCAAGGATACATCTACCATAGACCATAGCACATCTGTCGAAATCAGTTTTCAACCCAATAAACTGAACCAGATATGGATAACTCTAGAGCCCAAGCCTGTCGGAATCAGTTTTGCAATTCTGTCAGATAAACTTGTTATGGATAGCTCCAGAGCTAAGATACATCTACCATGGACTATAGTACAACTGTATCCGAATCAGTTTGCAACCTAATCAAAAGAACCCGTTATGGATAACTCTAGATCTAAAGATACATCTATCATCGACTACGAAGCTGCTGTCAGACTCAATTTGAAAACCTATCAAGCAAACCTGTAATGGATAACTCTAGAAGCAAGATACATCTACCATCGACTACAGCACAGTAATCGGCTTCAGTTTTCAAATTAACCTGAACCGTCTCAAGCAAATATTAAATTTTTTGACACCGCTGTATGATTACTAATTTAGTGACTTAAGTCAAAGTACGTTGGTTGTCTCTACATAACTTTTATTTACATTCACTTACACAATCATGCTGTCAAAAAATTATCAATGCGCCTCTATTTAATTTCAAGTAAATGTGATCATTTGAGGCTGTTACTAATGAAGTTCCGAAAAAAGAAGCTTGAAATTAAAAAATTAATTTTCGATACATGTTTCACTATTTTTCCTGATTTGAAGTAATAGAGTAGGGTAAACATAAATTAAAAATAACATTTAAAATTTAACTATGCAGAAAATCTAAATCAAAGTTTTTTTATCCAAATACCACGATTAGTTCTAAAATATAATTTTATCAAATTGGCCAGGAGTATTTTGCTATATTTAAATCCTTAACATAAAACACTAATTAATTTTTCATAAACCAATTTTATCTGCAGTTATAAATTGTTTGATTATACTACACTTGTATTTTTAAATTAAAAACAAATTTTATTAATCACATTTTTAACCAGGATACTTTATTGCACGCAGTTATTCATTAAAACAAAAACCTATTGCATTCATTATATTGCAAAAATTTCTTTTTTATCTTCGGAGTATAATTTTGTACTATTCCTTCATAAAACAAGAATAAAAGTACATAACAAAAAGTATCTTTAAAAAACACAACTTCCACCAACTTAAAAATTCGAATATTTTAAATATTTTTCTTTTCTTCGGTGGCAAAAAGGGGAAAAAAGTACATCTACCTAACGGTACTTATCAAGGTCCCCATTTTCATCCTGTCGTTGAAATACACATCCAATAAATGTATGTGGCAAAGTAATATCGTCTGAACGTTTCGGGGGTGGAGCAAGGGGAGAAATATCATAGATCGCAATGCCTCATTATACATGTAAGACTCTTTTCGTCGCTCAACCCCTCTGGAATCGTTTGTCAGATAGGGACTTTGCTGGCATTTGTCTTGAATAAGCCCGCTGCTATTTGCTCGCCAAATCGACTTTAACAGTGTCGATGATGGCTTTGGGACCGTTCCCAAATAGAATATATTGTCAAATGGCTCGAAGACTAAACTATGTGTTTATTTAAACATAAGTTTTTAAATTCGTTCCAATGATAGTCACAGTAAAATGAAGGCATAAACTTGAGGGTGTTGTAGAGAGCACTTGTTTGATTGTTCTTCGAGATTCATTCTACTGAACTTGATTATCTATCTTCAATATTTTATTATTTTAAAGGGTCGAAATTGTATAATGTGACGGTTAATTGGCTTGAAAATTGAACTTTGTACAGTAAGAAAACTTGTAAACATTTTCTTGATTTTAGTTGAATGAAGACACACATATATGTATTTCGGGAATGTTGTAGAGGGTACATTCTGCTAAACTTGAACACCTATCATCAATATCGTATTTGCATTTTAAATGTTCAAAGACTATATGATTGCTTGATTTATTGATTGATTGAATGTAGGTTTCAGTGGCACAAGGTCCAAATGAGGACATGCTGCCAAAGACTATATAATTTGACTGTGAATTGGTGGGCAAAAATTGAACTGCGTGCAATCGAAGAATTTGTTTGTGAATGTTTTCTTGGTCTCACTAAAATGAAGACAAATTTGTATGTATTTTGGAAGCACTCTGGAGCATCGGGAATTTATTCCGCTAAAATTGTACTTCTACCATAAATATCATATATTTACTTTAAATGTCGATTTGATAGTCGAGCGGTGCTAAAATTGAACTGTTTGTAAACGATGCATTTGTTAGTATTAGTTTTCAAATGCTAGTCACATTAAAAGGAAAACATAAATTCTAAGGTGCATCAAAATTGTTATACGAGGCACTTGTTTGATTGTTAATTAGGAATTCAAGTTCAAAGTTGTTTTTAGAGGTTTGATATTAATGCAATTTGAGTGATTGTTCTTTCAATCGTATGCTTCAATTAATCGTATATCACCATGTTTTGGTCAATATTTTATTTTTTTAAATGCTCAAAAACGTGTAAGATAGTCCATTGACGCGAAAATTGAGCTTTGTGCAATATGAAACAATATTTAGTTGAAATTTACCAATTATTTTCAAAAGGAAGACATTAGCGTGAACATCTTGTATAAACAGCAGTAGCTAGTTTGATTTCGTTATCGATCTCTAAGCTTAGACTAAGCATCAATTTAAATTTTGTTTTCAAAATTAGAAAAATTTCAATATCATTCAAAACTTTTGATACATCGTATGCAACTTGATGAAAAGAATAATATACATTTTTGAATGAGTGAGTTTTAACACTGACTAGTTTTTTTCCATGAAAATAGAGGCGTTCTAACACAGTTGAGTAGCTTTCAAAGTAGGCTACCCTTATTTAATTTTGTTTGCTTTTTCTCCTAAATAATTTATCACTTTCCTTTTATTTAAAAGATAAACTTGAACTATATCTATGTAACTTTAACAATATTTTATGAATGAAGTATGAAAATTCCTCAAAATTTTAATTCAAAAACTGAATTGTTTTAATTTTCAACATTTTCTTATCCGTCTTTTTTATTATCTGTTAAAACTGCTAAAAGAAATTCTTGTTCGTCATTGTTTAATTTTAAAATAATGGCCGAATTTCCTTTTCTCTCAAATGACCTTTACTTCATTAAAAAAAAATGATTAAATAATTATTAAATACATATCGAAAAGTTATAGTTGCATCTCTTAAGATTTGATTTTCATTTCTAATGATTGCATGTTAAAGTTTGTTCGTGTGATGCCATTATAATTGCACATTTTCCATTATTTTCATTTGGCAATAAACTTATGTCGCCAGCTCGCCATTCCGTGAGATAATTTAATGAGAAATTCCGTTATGTCACGCAACTAAACATAACGAGAAAATGGAAATGCTTAATTAAGCAATAATATTAATTAACCTTCAAAGTTAATTAACGTTAAGCATAGAACAACGAATAATCTAACATATGTTTCAAATGCTAAACTGCAGTCATTTTGTTCTAAAAATAGGTTTTTAAAACTGCTGTTGTTATCTTTATATATTTAATTGAAGAGTTATTCATTATAATTTTACTTTATTACAGAGATTAATATTTTTATGAGAGAATATTACATTAATTTTCAAAACTTTTTGTTTTCTTTTAAATGTTTTGATGCATATTCATATATGGTTCACATTTCTAAAACATTTTAAACCATCGTTTATTTTAACACACTTTTTTTTGAAAAGGAAAATGTATTTTAAAGAACATTTGTTTTTCAAAAAAGAATAATAATATTTTTTAAAAGCAAATAAACTGGCTGTACTAAATAGCAACTAAGTTTATCTGCGTTCGTAAAAGTGCGTAAAGATATATATTTCTCAACTTATTCCTTATGAGATTCCAAGAACAATTAATTTTATTTAAATTTTGTTTCCAAAAAATACTGTGGTACTTAACATTGTACTGGATTGTTTTTCTATGGATATTTTTCATATTATAAAAGTCCTCTTATTAGCTAAAAAAGTTATTTTTTCTCACTTAAAAACATTTCTTCACTTCAAAGATTTTTTTTCACAAACTTCATTGATGAAATTTTTGAAAAAAATTCTATGTTGCATTATAGTTAGACTCATTATTATTCACTTCAAATATTTTTTTCTCACAAACTTCATTAATGAAATTTTTGAAAAAATCCTATGTTGCATGATACTTATACTCATTTTTATTCAATTCAAAAAAAAATTCTCCCTACTTTCCCAAGAACTCAAATCCCAAAAGTATTCTTTAAAAAAAATATTGATAAAAATTAGAAAACTTTTAATACTATTAGTATGTAAATGTTGATTATAAATTGTACATTTATACTTTTTATGCATGATATGAGTTAAGGATATTTAAATTAAAATGACACTTCATATTATAACAAAATAGTTAAAGAGATAAATTTTAAAAAATGCATTCGTACAAAATATTGGGTTGAGTAAAATTATTGTTAGAAATGAACAAGATATCAATATTTAGCACACACACTCTCCATCTTATTTCAAGTAAATTCGTTAATAAAATATTCACAAAGTAAAAGAACTCCAGCAAAAATTACATTAAATTCGTTTTTGTGTCTTTTTACAAACTTGGTTTTGAAATTTTTGAAACAAAAGTACCATCAATTTTTCAAAGCGTTCAAATTTTGTCAGTGTTCTTGTTTAATAGTTTTGTAAAAAATAGGCTTATAAACGTTCGAATGTAATAAGCTCCACTTTTGATATGTCATAGTGGAAATAACTGCCATAATATTGTTTTGAGTAATATTATTAAAAAATAAAAACATTTCATATCATTAAAAAATTCTTTTCTTTTTTAAAAAAAGAAACTTTTTTTTAACGAAGTCGAGTAATTTTTTCAGCTCTACAGACTTGGTTTCATGTTGAATTGATTTTTTTGGAAGTGTAAAGAAAGCACATTACATACGTAATCCAGAATAATAAAAAAAAGGATGGAAAAAAAACTTTTTTATTTATTCAAGTGTCAATGCCCTACATCAACTTCTATTTCCGTTTTATTTGCTCTATCGTGTTTTTAGTGTAGCAAACACAGAAAATCTTCAGCAATGATCACCTCTTCACTTATTGATAGCCAAAATTGTCACCTAAAACTTGAGCTAAAGTAAACTGAACATTTCGTGTAAGAGGGAGCCAAGATTAGAAGATATAGCAACAAAAGTAAATGTCACCTTCGATGATTAAATTGACCTGGAGAAAAGAAAGAAAACGTGTTAGGGGACAAAAGTGTGCCAACACATAGGGTTCCATAGTACGTGAGTAAAGATTAGGAGAGGGAAGGGGGGTGGGATTGTACTATGATGAGAGCTTACTTTTTCCTGCATCATCCTCGCTTTCCGTGACTCTGTAAAAGTTGTTTCTCCGCCAAGTTGGCCTTCTTGCAGGGAAGAAAAAAGAAGGTGGCGATCTTCTTTGTGCTTGCGAGGAATTATGTTGTGAAAGATATGAGGGATTTAGTTGTTATTTTGGGAGTTGGACAGTAATGATAGTTGAGAAAACTTGTTTATTGCCTTAATACCGATTATATAGAAATATTTTAGTATGCTGTTTGATTGAAGGAATTTTAATTTTTCACTGAATTATTAAAATTAGGGAGAAAAAATAATTAATTGAAGAAAAAAAAATGCAAAGAAAATATTTTTCTTTTGTTATTGCGTAGTCATATCTCAAATAGCATTTGATGGAATCCTATTTCAAGCGCAAAAAATTTTTTGGTTTTCTTTAAATTGTTCATGAAAGTTTATTTCATTTTTACGCATGTTTAATATTTAAAATCGAGCTATTTTATAAAATTAAAATTATTATTGTTGTTCCCATAAAGTAAAAATTTAAATTCTTGCTATTAAACTACTATGCATACTATTTTTTAACAGATTACAGCCAAATTATTTTCTGTTTTTAATGCTTATTTGTTTTCGGCCTTTTCAATTCAGAATTCACACGGATTTTTTAAAATAAAGACAAAATATAAATTTAATTTTTCTGAATCTTTCTTTTGAAAAATCATTTTCGTTTGAAACAAAGTTCTGATTGTAATTTATTAAATTTGTCATTATTTTTTTTTAATGAGACTTCCACATAATTATTTTTGCATGCATTATATTAGTTACTCTAAATTTAAACTTCATCCGTCTTAAAACTATATATTTTACAAGAATTTTCCAAAAAAAAAGTAAGAAATAAATAAAAAAAAGAAAAATAATTCAAGCTCTCATTTTAGTAATGAATACATAAAATTCTAGTATGAAGGGTAATATTACCCAAGACTATAAAATAACTCATTTTGATCCCTTAAAAATAAAGTAAAAGTAGTAAACATTCAAAATCAAAAATTAGTTCTAATTTTTAAAATCTAATTAGTAAATTCTAATTAGTAAAAATTATATAACCTTGTCTAGAATAAAAATTCTTGATCAACTGTAATTACTCTCTAATTAATAATTCTTGTTGAATTATAATGGTTATTATGCTGTTTTACTATAATTAGCTTATGCCCGTTGATTTTCAAGCTATTTAGTTGATTATAAGCAAAGTTAATTTAGAAAAACAGAATAAAAATTCAAATTTAATTCCATTCAAAAAAAATAAGTTCCATTTTTTCCATATATTTAGAAAAATGTTTATTTGTTGTACAGAAAGCATTCAAAGTTAATCCCTAGCTTAACTCAAGATTGTAAACTCTTAGAAAATATGTTAAAACATGTTGTCAATATTTGTATGCTGTCATATTTTCTGTAAAGCAACGTAAAATTTTTTTGAAGCGATTAAAATTGCAACGTTCTTTGTTTTCAAAACGTCAAATATCTTCTTATTTACAACAGATCCTCTTGTGTTGCTCTATAATGTGTTTATAATTTTTAATACTTCAAGTGCGGTCAAAGTGTCGAATAAATAATCTAATCATAAAATAAATAAAAAACTAAGTTATCTATGTATAAAATTAATTTTAAAAAAAAACAATGGGTGGTGCTACTTAATATTTTAAAAAGAATTATTGTTTATCCCCTCTTACAGTGCAAATTCTTTAAACTAAAAATCTTACTAATTATTTTTATTTATTATTCATTGCTATTTTTATTATTTCTACAGGTGGTCCTAGTGAAGGAAAATTGCTTCCAGGTGATCAGATCCTTCAAATAAATGGTGAAGATGTGCTCAAATCCCCTAGAGAAAGAGTTATCGAATTAGTCAGGTAATTGATTGCCAAAGACCACTGCCATTTTCTTCCTTTTTTTCCTCAGAGCCATTGTTTCTACTGAGAAAGAAAGAAAATAAAAACAGCCTCTTTAGCATCGTCGCTAGTTAAGTTGAAGCACTTGATGAAAGTAAGTTACTATTGGCCAACACTGTTGAATGCAGTAGAAAGGAGACAAAATCTAGTTTTAGTAACAGAGCTATTATTGGAATTTCATTTGGAATGTATTTAGAATTTTTTTTGTAATATTTTGTGCTCGTAAAGTCGTAACATTAGAACCTATAATGGAATTTTTTTTTTTTCATTAATATTCTTTATTTAATAACTGTAATTTCTTTTTCAAATTAATGCAAAAACGAACACTGCGTATCTATCATTTTTTGCTGTTAAAAAATATTCTTTATTCAAGTGTAGTTACATCATTTACGTTAATGTTATGTTAATTGCAAAAGTTGTGTTATTTTAATACTTCGAAAGTAATGATAATTCAATTATGTTTTTGGAAATAAATGATTAGAAAAACTACATAAAGAAACATCTTTTAATAGTTTTACTATTTTTTAATTCAAGGTTTTTTATTAATAATAATTAATATTTATATTAACATAATGATAAAATAATAATTTTATATTTATATTGCGTAACAATATAAAAATAAGTTTATATTTCTATTAACGTAGTGACATCTTTTAATATTTTAGGTTCTTTGTTAAAAACGAAATTTAAAAAAATATATACACTTTAGTGGTCATGAATCAATAAAGGGAGAAAGAAACACAAAGAGAGTCGAAATTTATCGAACATGTAGGGAAGAAGACGGTATTAAAAACATCAGAAACATATATTTTCATAAAAATTAAAGGTTATATTTCTAAGGATAAATTTAACACCCATCTGTTTCCTACGGTATTTAAACAGGTGTGTATACATTTTTTACGGGAAATTTTTTGATTTTTGACAAAGATTTTAAAAATAGGTAATAAAGTGGTCGTAATCGTCATTCTTAAATAAGCTTGAGATCTGATATTAACATTAATCATTAAATAAAATGAGATCAGATTGAATCAAACAAGATTAAGAGGAATTAGGATTAAATTTCAGTCCGATTTAGATAAACTAATTTGAGATTTATATATGAAGTTTGAATTCATTCTCAAAACAAATGTCATAATTCATTTCGTTCAAACCCACAAGATTTTTATAAAAACTACTTTGCTAAAAATTCAGGATACACTAAAAAATATCGGTGCTCAGGGTGCTGATACTTTTTACCAGATATTGATTAGAAATATACCGTACTTTTTACTGTAATAATTTCCGTAAAATCACTGAGTCACTCTAATTAAATTACGGTTATATATTTTGTGGAAAAAATGGTTTTTACGAAAAAATGGATTTTTCGGATGATGCACCCAAACCTTATACCGTAATTTGATCCGGAATTTTCCACAGTGTAGGATTAGGAAAGGTTATAATAAACTAATAAAGATATTAAAATTTTATATAAAGGTCATGAAAAAACTATTAGTAAATATATCAATAAAATAGAATTTAATAATGCTGTTTAATTTTAACTCACAGAGGTTTTTTTTATGATGCGTTAATACTTTTTGACTGTTAAGTGCAAATCAGTTGAAATATTAAATAAAAATTTCCTCAAACCTTTATAATAATTATTATTGAATTTTATTAAATAAATTCACAATTTTGTTGCTCGAGATTATTTAACAAATTTCGCTAATATTTTACTATGCATTAAATGAACTGTAAAAAATAATTCTTCAAATATCACAAAACTTTCTTCGTTTCGGTGAAACCGTTTCCTGGTATATGCTCCGAGCGAATCTTTCGTCAAAGTGACGAAATAACTATTGTCACTTCTCGTAATGAATTTCGTTAAAATTAAAGAAATATTTCGTTATTCTTTTTTTATTAAAAGAACAACCCGTAGTGCCTTAAGTATTTTAACTTTTCATAATAATCATTACACAGGGCCAGATAGATCAGAGAGATAAATTACACCAGTACCAGAAACGAGAATCGGTACCGGGATCTTCCGGCTAAAAGACCAACTCCATAACCACCATACATTTCAGTCGGCTTTCGGCACTTTGTTTTCAATCGTCTAGTCTTCCTTCCAGTTTCGTCATTCTATTTAACATTCTCCCCCAATGTACTATGATGAGGTTTCGAGTTAAGGAAACATTTCCGTCTTATATTTGAGAATTCACGTTTCGTCAAAAATCACGTGATTTCATAACGATAATATTCTCAAAATTAAAGAATTCAAGGATTGCAGAATCGTCAAAAGCAAGAGTTTTATTTCTGAGAGTGTGTGCGAAATTCACCGTAAAAACTAAAACACTTTTTTTAGTACATACTAAGTCATAATTTTATATTTGCAGATCCTGTAAGCAGTCAGTTAAGCTTCAAGTGTGCCAACCAATAACTAATAATGTAAGATATTTAATAAATTTATAGTAATAAGCGTTTAAAAAATTTTATGAAATGTGTGCATAATGTAAAACTTAAAAATTTAAATGTATATCATAAAATTAAATTTATACCACTAAAATTATATAGTGCAATATTTTTTGTGTGATATTTTCTGTAACTTTTAAGCAGATGTATACAACACATTATATCAGATTCTATCTATCTATTCTAACTGACCTATGCAATAATTTTTCTGTAATCACCGCCTTTAATGTTATATCAGAGTTTTTGTTAGTTAAATAAAAAAAAACTTTGGTGTTGCAAACAATATTTAAATGAGAGAGAAAATAACTACATTATCAAATTTTGACGAATCTATATCGAGGCAAAACAATTCTGGTTTTGATTTTTTAAGTTATGCTTTTTTTTCAGGGATTAGCCTCATTGAAGATTCATCCGATAGTTTCTTAATAAAATATTAATTTTCAACTCCTAGTGTAGTCTTTAATTACGAAGTACTTTATACTCATACATGACCAACAATATTTAGTTAAAGCAATGAATTCTATTAAGATTTGTGTATCATACAAAAATTTACTTTGAAAAAGCAACTTTGTAAAAGTCGCTTTATTTTTTTTTTCATTTCATATACACTTTCAAATTTAAACATTTATTTTAATAAAGTGACAATATTTATTTGACTTTTGTTGAATGTACTACAAAAAGTATTTATTTCTGCAACACTATTTAATTAATGTTTGTTAAATATACTACAAAATCTTTAGCTTGTTAGAGCTACAATATTTAGCGTATTTAAATATTCTACGAAATCGTTTAGCTGTTGGAACAAGAATATTTAATTTACGTTTGTTAAATGTGCTACAAAGTCTATCATCTATTAGTCCAACAATAATTAAATAACGTTTGTTGAATTTGCTCCAAAATCTTTCATATATTAGTACAGCAATATTTCATTAACTTTTGTTAAATGTACTACAAAATCTTTCAGCCATTAATGCGAAAATATTTTATTATTTTTCGTTAAATATTCATCAAAACACTTGTCTGGAAGAGTAAAAATATTTAATTATATTATGTTAAATTTACTCTGTACATCAAATTAATATATTCTAAAAATATTTCTATTATATTATTTATTAATTATTCGTTAAATTATTACAGACTACTAGGAAATCTGCTCTCTTAACAGCAGCTAAAAAAGCAAAGCTGAAATCCAATCCTTCCAGAGTAAGATTTGCAGAGGGAGTCGTTATAAATGGTTCACCTTTATACTGTGTAAGTTTGAAGAAATTTTTTTTTTCTAATTAATTGAATAATTTATAATTTTTAAATAAATACTAAAATTATTAATATTATTTATTATAATATTATTATTATTATATTTATAATAATATTAATATTATTATNACTGAAGAATGAAATTCTAACTATTTTGTGATTGGTTGCATCTCTGAAAAAGAAAATTCAGACTTGTAAATCGCTTTTTTAAGCTTGCCGTTTTCAGACATGTGATTGGCTGTTGTGAACGGCGGTTATTCTTCATTATTAACTGCAAAATCGTGCTTTAAAACTAAAATAAATAAAAATTTAAAATTATGTAAAAGATTTGAATGCCCTAAATGTCTTCCCTGAAAGATTCTGAATGAATTGATTCCTTAATCTTAGATTTTCATCACGTAGTTAAAAAGTTTTTCAGGGGACAAAATTAACTGCAAAAACTTTTTTTTAGAATAGAGAGATATTAATCTTATTATTATACTATTTATGTTGCTATAATTACATTATTTATATTATTATTAATATTATTATAATAAATATATATAATATTATTTATTATAATATTTTAGTATTAATTTTGAAATAAATACAAATACATCCGAATGTTGTGTTACACAAAAAAGCAGTATTTATTTAAGAATTCTAGGATTTAGTTACTGTACCTAAATGTCTTTCTTGATTTCACATTTTTCTCGATCTTAAGACCAGAGCTCTCTAGATATACCTAATCCTCTTACTTTTATTTCAGTATAATTCTTCCAGAAAAACTGTATAAGTAACAGCTTTATTTTTCTTTAAGTCTAATAAAGGATTAATTAAATGTAAAAGAATTTTGCGAATAAAGAAAAAATGCAAAAGTAAAGATTTATTTTTACATTTGTTTGATACATTAATGATTTAATAGATTCAACTGAATAAATTGTAGGATTTTTATTAGAATGCTTTATTAGGTAATCAGTTGGAATTTTTTTGTGAAAGCAATTTTTTTCTGATAAACTGGAACACTGAAATAAAAACTTGATTTCTTAGCAAAATTTTCAGAACGAAAAAAATAAAACAAAATAAAAATATTGGGTGTATGTTATGTAAATTTAAGAACGATTTCTTAAATATTTTAAGAAATGACAAAAGTACAGCACTTTAATATTAAATAGGTATGAATATTTTTTAACTAATGTAAAGATTAAAGGCTTAACTATACTGATTTATTATAATCAATGTCATGTTTTTTGTTTGACACCTAATAACAAATTCAGTATTTCATCCATTTTCTGTAAAATGCCCCTCTTTCCTATTCTTTATTTCAATCAAAACGCATTTTTTTATCAATCCCAAATAAATTTTAAAAATTAAAGAATACAAATATTGGTAACCATATCTTTTAAAATTCTGAAAATGGCCATATTTACCCAGTTAAAGCTGAAGAAATACGCAAACTGTATAAGTTTTAAAACTGCACTCAATTTTTTTGGATACAAACAAATAAGCAGTATCATGAACACTATTTGTGCAGTTGTGAAGCTTGTTTAAAGCGTATCCATCATTGTTTGTCCATAACGTTATCATATAAACAAGCAGCAGTTTAAAAATGTTAATCTCTTTTACAGTGATACACTGAAGTCAGCAACATCTATATTTTAATTTGCTTACAGTAAAAAAATATAAAATAATAATTAGTCTTTAAAAACTACCTTATGTTATCAATACAGCACAGTTTTTATATGCATCTTTAAAAGAATACTTATTTAACTTTTGTTGAATGCACTACAAAAACTATCTGTTGGTGTAACACTATTTAATTAATGTTTGTTAAATGTGCTACAATATTTAACGTTTTTAAATGTTTTAAAAAAATAAAAAATATATGTAATTTTGTTTTTCCAATTACAGCCGTCCCCATTTGACTCACGTGTACCTTTCATGCCTAATGTCTTTTTATTTTATTTTATAACCGTCGTTGAACAGCCGACCCAATTTCATGGGTTTACGACTACTTACGTTCAACTCCGTAGCCTTGTAATTTTGAACCAATCCAGAAGACAAGGAAACTCCTGGATCAGTACCCCCAGAGGTATTGATTTGTTGTGGGAACATGGAGGACTTTGAGACTCGACAGATTTAACGTGCATCAGTCACCATTTACTACACGGGGAGTCTTCGGCCGGCGAGGATCGAACCCACGACCTCTTGGATATGGGCCCAGCGCCCTACCGACCAGGCTATCCCGGCCACAAAATTAGATATATTTTTTATTTTTCTATAAATGCTTTTTTTTCATTTACAGCCGTCCCCACTTGACTCGTGTACCTTTCACGCCTAATGTCTTAAATGAATTTCTAGAAAAATGAAAAAATATATATAATTTTGTTTTTTTATTTACAGTTGTCCCCATTTCACTCACATGTACCTTTCATGCCTAATGTCTTAAAAGAATTTCTAGAAAAATAAAAAAATATATCTAATTTTGTTTTTTTATTCACAGTTGTCTCCATTTGACTCACATCTACCTTTCATGCTTAATGTCTTAAAAGCATTTCTAGAAAAATAAAAAAATATATCTAATTTTGTTTTTTTCATTTACAGCCGTCCCCATTTGACTCACATGTANGGGGAGTCTTCGGCCGGCGAGAATCGAACCCACGAACTCTTGGATATGGACCCAGCGCCCTACCGACCAGGCTATCCCGGCCACAAAATTAGATATATTTTTTATTTTTCTATAAATGCTTTTTTTTCATTTACAGCCGTCCCCACTTGACTCGTGTACCTTTCACGCCTAATGTCTTAAAAGAATTTCTAGAAAAATAAAAAAATATATCTAATTTTATCTTTTCATTTACAGCCGTCCCCATTTGACTCACATGTACCTTTCATGCCTAATGTCTTAAAAGAATTTCTAGAAAAATAAAAAAATATATCTAATTTTGCTTTTTTATTCACAGTTGTCTCCATTTGACTCACATGTACCTTTCATGCCTAATGTCCTAAAAGCATTTCTAGAAAAATAAAAAAATATATCTAATTTTGTTTTTTTCATTTACAGCCGTCCCCATTTGACTCACATGTACCTTTCATGCCTAATGTCTTAAAAGTATTTCTAGAAAATGGTCAAACCAAGTCTTTCAAATATGATAGCACTACAACTGTACAGGTAACTAACTACTTTCGAAATCAATGATAATTTTTTAATTGATTTTTTATGTAAATAAAATGTTTAAAACTTTTTTATGTCTCAACAGTATTAGCTGATGAATTCTCTTTTTTGTGGGCAATATTTTTAGAATTTTAATAGCCGCAAATAAATTATATTTAAATAAACATAATTATGTATTTTAATAAAATAAACAACTCCAAACTGCAAATTTAACACCTTTCAAATATGAAATAGATTGCATAACAAGAGCTTTAGTGTGGACAATGACGTTACATCAATGTGTCAATAAAATTCTTAAAACTCTGTGATTTATAATTGCTATTTGCTCTTAATTTATGAAGAAAATGTTTTCCAATTTTACTAACCAGACGTGAATATGTTTTCTATAATCAGTGCTATTATATATTTTAAACCAAATTAACAGCTATAAAGTATTGATTTGAAATGATTATTTTTAATTGTGGAATAATTAAAAGCTTTCTAAATCATAGTTGATTTCCTTGAAGTTTATTTGTTGAAATAACAAAATTCTCTGATACATAAATTAATATTATTTTCTGATAATTTGTGTCATTTGTCGAAAACTTTTTACCGATTTATAATAAACACATGTAAATTGTTCTAAAATCAATTATATAATATAATAGAATAAACAACCTTAACTTATTTACACAAATTTCAAATATGATTATTATAGCTTCTCAGATAATGAAGAGTTCTTTAAACCAAAGTAGCTTTTCTTGGATTACTTCCATGCTTTTATTGTTACTTACTCCTTCAATGTTTTTAAGTACTCTGATATATGTAAATTAATATTATTTGCTTATGATTTGGAATATTTATTTTATCTGAATAGGTTCATTTGATAAAATCCTTTAAAATTCTTTGTTATATAACTATAGTTTGATCATAGTTCTTTTTTATTTTGGGAGTAGAATTTTTTACGGAACTTTGATAACCATGCATAAATGAAATAAAATAAACCAACTTAACTCATTGTGCGTAGCGCTTTTAAAAAGTGCATGCTTATTTTCGATTTTTAAAAGCTCTTAAAGGTGCTTTTTTTTATTGGGTGTTTTTAAAAAGTGCTTAATGAATTTAAATGAGAAGTGAGATTCGAAAAGGGAATGTCGATTTTCGCCGCGTATTATGTAAAAGCGTGCTTTTTCACATTGTTCTATTCAACTTTTTCACAATTCATTAAACCACAATCTATTTCGGTTCAGCGTATGAAAGCGCCAAACATTTTACATGTTTGATGAAATACTTGCAAGTCCTCATGTGCATCCACTAAGCTGGGTTCGGTGAGATTATTGCACTCTCATTGGCAACTCTGCTGCATTTTGCAATATATTCTCATTTTCAGGCTTCATTTTCCACCCTATCATATTGAATCAAAAAATCTCTTGATCATTTTATAATAGCTAATATAATCAATAAAAGAGTTCTTTGTCAGAAGCTAGTTATTTTATCATGATCATGTAAAATCTTTGATAATTATTTTGTATTTTGTTGATGCATATAGTACTTAAAAATATTTTTCAGTGCTTAGAAAGTTCTTAAAAGGTGCTTATTTTTTATAGAAAGATTTGGCTACGCACCCTGCAGTAGCTGTATATTTTGCTAGAATTTACAATTTTAAAATAGTTATCAACTTTTAAATATCATAGTATTATTTTTTTTATCCAATGTTCATTTATATTGACTGATCATATTATAAATGTAAATTAAATATAGATCTTCCTAGAACATAGAATTTTTTTGGAATGATTTTTATATCAATAAAATTTTTTAAAGCTCTTTCACTTGTAAAAATTCCTTTTCTAATAACCTTTAATATATGAGAAAAATATATTTTGAATTCCTCTAACCATGAATTAATTGTTAAGACTTTATAACTAAAAATATTAGCTGAAGAGATTTTTAGCAATTTGCCAGTAATATTAAAAAAATATTTATGCAACATACTGTGGCAAAAATAATAATTTCAATGTAAAAGTTCCTTGTTTCTAAGAAATAATTATTTGTGTTTAAATAAGCAGCATACAAGAAAAATATGCAAAAGTTAATACAAATTCTTTTATTAGTTGCTTTTTTTATAATTTTAAGGAATTTTAAATTGAGCAAAAAGCCCAATCCATTTCAGCTTCCAGAACAACAATTTTTCTTATTTTTTAATTTATCGTTTTGTGATTAATATTGTAAAAAACATGATATTCTAAAAACATATTAAACAAATATTCTAAAAAACAAGTTAAACTGTTCTATTTCATATTTCTAGCTATTAATGTTTTAATTGCTTGAAATATATATAAAAACTTTTGTTCAAAATATTTTCCTTTAAAAGTGTCTGTTGTTAAAAATCTAATGTTAAATGCTGAAAATTTAATGTTTTTCATTGCATTATATTTATTTCTATTTACATGAATTTTTTTTTTTTTTTGCTTAACCTGATTTACATTTCTTTCCATTTATATTTCAGGATGTGTTGAATGTTCTTCAGGAAAAACTAAGTATAACTTGTTTAGAACATTTTTCACTAGTTGTAGAACACATCAAAGCTGTTAGACGGAACAAATTATCTATTCTGAGTCCTAAAGATACCCTCGCTAAAGTAAGTCTCACAAATAACTTTCTTTCATGTTGATATCCACTACATCAGTTTTTATATCAATAGGTTTACTTTTCAAAACTAGGATTTCATTTCATCCCTTGCATCAGTTTTACATCAATAAGCTCAATTTTCCTAACTTGATTTTGGGTCAATATCTTCTACTTAAGAAACTCTTGATGATTACTCTTTAAAGAAAAGTAAGCCCTTTGTATCAGTAGGCTTACTTTTCATAACTTTTCTTGCATATACCATTTATACCAGGAACTAAAGGCGTTTGATAATGAAGCAGGATCTAAATACATTATACACGAGGAAAACCAAGTTTAGTTAAAACTTCCTGAATTTTCCACAAACGAATATTTTAGGTGAAATTTTCAGACAGAATCTTTATAACTGAAGTTTTTGACTTTTATATCAGAATAGACAAATTTGTGTCTCATTTTTTAAGGATGAGGCTGATGATGAATTAAAGCCTAGGGTGGAATTAAAAAGTAGTTTGTTTCTGAACCACGATGCATTTATAGTAGTTGTAATATAGCAGAACTGAAGATTTTAAAATCAAGAAATGTTTTAGCCCTTAAAAAATATGAATAAACACTTTGTTTGAGATCATTAATTTAAATAAACATGATACAAATAATTTTATATATATATATATCATATATATTATATATCATATATATCCCACAAACAAAAACTCTAGTGGGATATATTTGTCCCGTCTGAAAATCCCGGTAAGATAATATGTTCTAGCCCAAGAAAAGCCCAAATATTTTATTTTAATTTTGCAGAATATTGTAATATTTTACCTTATTTGATATACTTAGTTATCATTTGTCTTTTTTATTGGAAAATAAAAGACTGTTTTTGTAAGGGTTAAGGTATGTTGAACTTAAATTTTTTTTATTAACCTTTATTTGAAATTATTTTATGGTGATTTGTTTCTTATGAGATAGCATGATACTTTTTAAGACTGTTAAACAAAAATCGTATACCACATTTAATATTTCTTACGTCCTAAAGGAATCATGTTTACACAGTTTACTTGCAATGGCGTGCACTCCTTTATCTGCTTAAATATGGAATATTTATCCAGCAATCGCTTTCAACAATATTTTACTGCAACCATATTTGGTATTCAACAGAAAATAAATTTTTCCCCTGAAAATTCAATAATGTAACAAGCTTATTTTCATTCTTCGAACAAATTTGTCAACAGGTTTTACTTGTAAGAAGTAAAACATGTTAAAATGAATGCGTCAAAAATGTGTTAAAAAATGAAATTCAACAAAACAATAAATTAACATTGTAAAAGAAAAGAAAATAATAGGAAAAAATTTCATGACGTTTTAAAATGTTTCTGTGTAAATGACAAAAAGATGTATAGAAAGTGTAATTAGTTTTATATTTAGATCATAGGAATAGGAATAAATTTAGATCATAGGAATGATTATATTTAGATCATAGGAATAGGAAAAAATAGGAATTTAGATCATAATAATAGGAAAAAATTTCATGACGTTTTAAAATGTTTCTGTGTAAATGACAAAAAGATGTATAGAAAGTGTAATTAGTTTTATATTTAGATCATTCTATCTTTTAAGCATAATTTATAAAAACAAACATGAATGACTCTCAAACAATCCATGTACAGTTTTAAATAATTTTGTATATATATTTTGTACAACTTATGATAGTTTTGTACAAACTTCAGTGTCCATCAAAAATTTGTAAAGCTTTTTAATACCACTTTTGATATCCTATAAAACGAAAGAGTATTGTTAGATTTAGTTTTTAATTCTGTCGTTGTTTTAAAAGAAACAGCATTAGTTTTGCGCAATCTCATAAAAACAATGTTTATTTGTACGGCCTAAAAAAATGAAAAATGTTAACTTTATTATAAGCCTTAAAAAACAATTTTGTACATATTTTAGACTTTTCCTTGATGGTGTTAGTTATGTTTAGTTTGTAAATAAACATCGTTATTTTTGTTGATTAAATTTGTGAACATTTTTAGTCTCAAATGATGTGTGGTAATTTTTATTCTTTTCTTTTTTTTAGATCGCTGCCAGACCCGGAGCACATCACCTTAGATGTCTTTTTCGTTTAACATTTGTTCCCAAAGATATTTACGAACTAATGCAGAAAGACCCCGTCGCATTCGACTACCTCTTCCTTCAGGTAAGGAGAAAATAATAATAAATAAGTATTTTTTCATTAAAGTTTCTCATAAGAATTTTTCAGAATAAGAACAAGACATGTCAATAATTATCGACATAAATCTTCTTATCCTAAATGTTGTTATTTTATTTTATAATTTTATAACCGTCGTTGAACAGCGAATCCATTTTTCGGGTTAATGACTTCGAATGTTCAACTCCGTAGCCTTGTAATTTTGGACACCAATCCAGAAGACAAAAGAACTCCTTTATCAAATATAGTCAGAAATTTGCCTTCGTGGAAGACTTTTTGATGGAACTAACCCGCATTTGCTTAACATGGAGCGGAAGACCACGAGAACCTCCCACGGTTAGCCTAACGGCAAGGAAACTCTAACTCATGATCCGTCAACCACTGAGGATATTTTACGTCAGCACTGTGGTCGGGTGCAAGCCGGATGCGGAATTCGTATCGACCAGCCAATGCTGGGATTCGAACCCGGTCCGCCTCATTGGAAGGCGAACGCTCTATCCCCTGAGCCATCGCGGCTCCGGGTCAAATATTGGGAGAAATTCGCCTTCGTGGAAGACTTTTAGTGGAACTAACCCGCATTTGCGTAACATGGAGAGGAAAACCTCCCACGGTTAGCCTGACGGCAAGGGGACTCTAACCCATGATCCATCTACCACTGAGGATATTTTACGTCAGCACTNTTTTTTTTAGATCGCTGCCAGACCCGGAGCACATCACCTTAGATGTCTTTTTCGTTTAACATTTGTTCCCAAAGATATTTACGAACTAATGCAGAAAGACCCCGTCGCATTCGACTACCTCTTCCTTCAGGTAAGGAGAAAATAATAATAAATGAGTATTTTTTCATTAAAGTTACTCATAAGAATTTTTCAGAATAAGAACAAGACATGTCGATAATTATCGACATAAATCTTCTTATCCTAAATATTGTTGTTTTATTTTATAATTTTATAACCGTCGTTGAACAGCGGATCCACTTTTCGGGTTAATGACTACTAATGTTCAACTCCGTAGCCTTGTAATTTTGAACACCAATCCAGAAGACAAAAGAACTCCTGGATCAAATATAGTCAGAAATTTGCCTTCGTAGAAGACTTTTTGATGGAACTAACCCGCATTTGCTTTACATGGAGCGGAAGACCACGAGAACCTCCCACGGTTAGCCTAACGGCAAGGGGACTCTAACCCATGATCCGTAAACCACTGAGGATATTTTACGTCAGCACTGTGGTCGGTGCAAGCCGGATGCGGAATTCGTATCAACCAGCCGATGCTGGGATTTGAACCCGGTTCTCCTCATTATCCTAAACATTCAGAAAAATTGCTCCACTTGTTTTTAGATTGATGATTTATTAAAAGTTTCATATAGCAATTGCAACGGGGAACACATTTTTTATTGCATTAATGCAAATACTTGATCCTGATCGGGTGTAATGATTTTAAATCTGGAATCAGTTTTACTCCAAAAGCTGCAGATTTTTTTATATCATTGTCAATCTATTTTTGTTGAAATATAAAACGTTAAATGATATGTTTAAAAACGCTAAATATAACAAAGGGCGGCTCGAATATTGCGAAGAACTACAAGGGGAGTTAGAACACGTCATCAGGTTTAAAATTTATATACCGATAACCGAAAATGTTCGCTTCCTCAAAAAGATGCACTTCCCTCTTATGAAATGGTCAGAAGAAACAGTTCATAATAGGAAAGCACCTCTATTAGCGTAAGACGACATTTCCGGGCAGAGGTACCTGTGCAATTTTAATCCTGATGGTGTGCTCAATGACGTAAAATATCCTGGCGTAACAAACCTTGGCCTAGTCCCCTTGCCGTTAGGCTTACGGTGAAAGGTTTTTCTCTCTATGTAATGTAAATGTGGGGTAGCTCCATCAAAATGTGCTCCACGAAGGCAAATTTCTCCCAATACTTGATCCAGAAGTTCTCTTGTCTTCTGGATTAGATTCAAATTTTAAAGGACGCGGAGTCGAACATTGGTAGTCGTAAACCCAAAATTGGATTGGCTGTTCAACGATGGTTACAAAATTTCCGGACCCCCTGTAATATATAGCGTTTTCAAACTTACTATACTAAAATTGCTCTTTAAAAAACTGTAGCTTGGTCTGAGAAACCGATTGCAGATTTGAAATTAGAGACGTGAGCATTTCCAAGATCCGTGAAAAAACCTCATGCAACAGAAAACAATTAAAAAATTGTTTCCTAGTGTAATTTAAAATAAAATGCTGACATAGTTACAAAAATTAAAATTCTTATAACACTAATGTATTTCACTATTTTTATTCTGCACATGCAATTATTGTATTTTCTTTATGATCTATGCATTATGTGTATATATCATGAATTAAAACAACAACTCGTTAGAAATGTAACATTATCATCATTGGATTACAATAAGTATATAACAATTAAAATTATATAATAATATTTGAGTTATTTATCTCACATATTTTTCCAAATGGAAACCAAATGAACAATCTATATTATGCAGAAATTCTATTAGATTTTTCTGATTGTGCTTCTATACACACGGAATATCAAAGTGTCATAACTTTTATACAAATTTATTAAACTAAAAGACATGAAAAGTGGTATACTTAATTTATAGCATAATTTTATAATGAATGCTTATGCAATGCGGAAGATTATTAAGTAGGGATTGTTAAGTGAGTGTTATTAGCATTGAATATTACGACAACGACCGGAGATTGTAATAGTGCTTGCTGAAATCCGCGAAACCTCTATTGTTCAGAACCAAAATTAATTATGTTTATTCTGTGGAGTAATTTATTATGAAATATATGTAAACGTAGATTCAATGGCTAGTTCTAGAAATTTACCCAAAAGTATAAGCAAGGAAGGTATCCAAAGTTACACTTGCAATAATTATTTTTTGTAATAAAGCGAATTTTATAATGACCGATATTGATTTTTAATATTTATTTTTGAAATTTATATTCAGAATTATTGAAATGCATGCACCTTAGAAGTAGTAAATTAATATTTAAGCCAAGAAGTAACTATAACGATATCAAATTCAAATAAATCGCTACTGAGGTAAGTGGGACAGAAAACATCAAAACCAATTAGATTACCAGATGAAAATTGAACGTGTTTCTATTTATCACAGCTTGCAATTTCTAGACTGCTGTGTTTTTAAAAAAAATTCTAGACTGAAATTCTAGACTAAAAATTCTAGACTAAAATTCAATTTCTAGACTGCTGTGTTTTTAAAAAAAAACGTAAGTGCTTCATGAAATATTTCGAGAAAAGTGCCTTGATAGCTATTTTCTTTCAATTGATTATGTTATTAACGCCCAGAAAAAATTTCATAAAACTGTAGAAACAAAAATTTCACAATGTCTATCTTACCATATAAAATGCCGAATTTATGAAAATCTCTCTTTTTTTGCGCATACGTTGATTTTTATATTGCACAACAGTGTATACTACTTCTTCTAGTTTTGAAAGGATTTGGATTTTTCAGTACCGCCTACCTCGTTAAGGATTTATAAAGTTTGGATAACATTATCATTTTTATTTTCTTATTTAAATATTAGTTTGCTAACCTCATTTTGAAATTAGACTAGATATTCAGATTAAACATTCAAAGTAGACAAGAAATTTAAAAAATGTGTTTTAATAGTTCCCATTATAGAACATCCTATATGTGTATATCTTCTAGAATGGAAGAGTTATGACATGTAAAAGAAAGTTGAATTATTTTCACTGTATTTTTTTTCCTCCAGAAATATAGGTCAAATAAAAAAAAATTTTGAATGAATAACTTGATTTTCACCATTTTAATGACAGTACTGCCAAATTCAGTATAAAAACTCACTGCTCTAGTGAGCTTTTTGGTCATACCTTGCCTACTAAATTTTAAGTTGATAATCAATAATTTCGTTGTCATGTAACATAAAACAAAATATGGTTTATTTTGCCATTTTGATGTATAATATCTTATAGTTTTCCTATGTTAGAAAGTACACAAAAAAAAAATTATTTTTTTTAATGTGAGTTGATTCTAAGAAAAAAAGAGTTTGAAGAATTGAAAAGAGAAGAGATTGTCAGGAGGTAACAAATGATTGAAATCATTAAAATAAAATTTTATTTTAACTATCGGAAAACCTGTCAAATATTTATTTACCTCTCCCAAAATTTTCAAAACAAAACTTACAATTTTTGATGTTGGGAGAAAATAAACTTAGAAAATTGGCTAGAATCAAAACCATATCTTCCTCGATATTTCTCTCTAATCAATACTTCCTCAGGAAAACTCCCATCGTCTTCTTTTTTATTCGTTTCTTTATTCGCCTTGTCTACGAACCATTTCTCAGCATTGTCCATCTTCAAAGTGCAATAACTCTCGGGGAGAACCGATTTCGTTATTTTAGTAATCCTCCAAATGCAACAAATGGTGATCCAATCATATTTTTGTAAAAAATGGACCTAAGCCGTTCTTTCCCTTAAGTCTCCATTTGTAAAAGCTTGTCAAATATCTTATGGTTATCCTATGTTAGATGGTATTCAAAAATTTAAAAAAAAATTTCATTTATAAATGCCAGCACACTAAGTATAATATTTATCAAATTCGCAATCTATATGTTCTATGTAACTACAACTAAAGGATCAATTTCTTGTTTATGGTAACCCATGCTGAGGTCTTCTTTCTTCAAGGAGGTATTGCCTGAAGCTGGGTGGGCTTCAAGCCGCCACTGCTGTTCTAATCTCAGTCCTTCACAAGGACAGCACAGTGCCTCTAACCTCGGAGAACACTCAGAAAATGTGTAAGACCGTGATATCACACGAATTTTCAAGAATTTGTTGCTGAATCATATCGAATCATAAACGTAAACAAATATAAAAATATCATAAGCATAACCTCTAAATCGTGAAGCTAAACCATATTATCGAGTAAATTCTATGTATGCTACTGAAGTTGCTTTTATTTTTGTTTTGATTGATGATGTATTTTGTATAGAGCTGCAATGACGTAGTGCAAGAGAGGTTTGCTCCTGAGCTAAAGTACGATGTAGCCCTGAGGCTAGCCGCCCTTCATCTACAGCAGCACGCCATAGCCAGTGGCATGCAAGGGAAGCTTGTAGTCAAAGCCATAGAGTGAGTATTAGTCTCTTTTTGCTCCTTTTGAATCCACTTTTATTGAGATGGAATGTTTTTGATACTTTTATGATCTTCAAACTGCACTAGAAAATACAAAACTTTTTAAATGTATAAATTAATTTAAATGTTAGATTTGAATTGAAATGTTAGATTTGAATTGAAATGTTAGATTTGAATTAGTATGTTTAATGTATGATTATGTGTTTTAATATTTAAGTGTTACGCTATTTTTACTGTTTACATATTTTTATCTAAATGTTCTACCATTTAATCAGGAAATAATTAGTATTTTCGTCTAGTTGTCGTGCTCTCAGCATTAAGCATTGTATAATGAAAAGATTGTAAAAAAATAAACTTTAAGAATGCAGCATATATATTTATTTTAAGCATTCATATTTATTTCTCCTTTAAACATTTTTAAACAAATAAATCATCAAACTTTAGTTTTAAGTTTGGAAAATCATTATCGAGTTTTCTCACACTCCATCAGAACTGTATAAGTGAATTAAAAAAATAGAAAAATAAGTTTAGGAAAAGAAAACTTTAGACAAAAAAAAGAGACCTAGTAGTGCTGAGACCAAAAGTCTCATGTTCATTTTAAGTGATGTCAAAGGTTTCATGTAAACTTTAGTGATAAGATACAACAGCAGAATGATGTAATATTAAAAACCGTTTCTAAGAATTAAAGTTATTCTGACAAAATAGATCATTGATAATTTATCACATGGTCACAGAATGGTTTGTTAATTATAAGCGTATGACAGCGGCTTAACATGATATCTTATTATAAGAATAATGATTATGGTCATGATTAGATTATGATCGTGATGATCATAATTCAAATCAATACTCAGTAAATAATGTTATTTGGAATTGCTGGGGTTTTCTTCGGTTTGCTGGGTACCAGAATATTTGATTACGATAAGCGGTGAGTTTTTACTTACTTTTATTATAAATGTTCCTGTATCAGGTTCTGATCTCGCCAAATGCTATCGTTGAGTACTTAAATTATATTTAAAATGGCTTGTTCGTGGATGATAAGGAATTTTAGGTGCTTGTTCATTTTAAGGAGAGGAACCTATAAAAAATTACTTCGACACTAGTGACGCTTAATTAATTACGGTCATAGATCTTGTGGTGATAGGTATCTAATATGCTACTAATATGGATATCTAATATAGGTGCATGAACTCCCGAAACAGATAAATGCTTAACTTAACCAGCATTTATGGTGACGTGATATTCAGAAAACTGCTGTCTGCAAATCTTATCTCCCATGAATTGGGTCGCCATATCTTGGCGTCCATGGATTTTGTTGCTAAATCTTGGTGTCCAAGCTTCACCATTTTCATATGAATGTGTCTACTTTATACTACATAACTTTACGAACGAATTCTGAAAAATATATATCAGCTCACCAATTTGTGTGTTCGAATAGCATTATTCATTAAAGTTGTTATTTTTTCCTACAGGAGGGAGTACGGACTAGAAAAGTTCGTACCCATGTCTCTTCTAGAAACGATGAAGCGAAAAGAGCTGCTGAAGCTTCTGAACCAGTTGATGAAGCAGAATCAAACACTGAGTGCTCCTGGTCAGAAGCAGCTGACAGCGACACAGGCTAAATTCCACTACCTGAAGATAGTCAGCGATTTGCCAACTTACGGCGCCAAATCTTTCCCTACATGTACCAAAGTAAGATTCCATTCTGAGTTTTCAGCAAATACGTAATTTAATTAAATAGAATATTATTATTTTTTAAGAACATTTCTTGAGATATCATTCATGAGAAAGGCTGATGTATTAAATACAAGTGTTTGAAGTATATTTTACCAATGAGAGCCACGATGGCTCAGTGATTAAGATACTGCACTGGCATTGTGAAGAGCTGGGGTTCAATTCCCAGTTTCGACTTGAAGACTACCCAGCTTCAGATCAATGGGTACCAACTTGTCTAGGGTGTAAAGGGGGCCTGCGCACAGTGCTGACGACATTGCTACAATCATGTCATTGGTCATGAAATTGTGGGGCATTACCCTACATGACCCTCTGGCCCACAACAGGCTGTTGCACGAATGTTTTACATTTTTTTACCTGCCAATCTTCATTTGACTGTCCGTATCAGATGTTTTTAAATGTTAATTTTCATTTATACTTTTCTTTCTTTCTTTCTTACTTATTTACACATAATACTACAATAACTTTGATTAATAAACAAATTTTAAATAAAATATTATAAATAGGAAAATCGAAATATACTAGATAGTTTGATAAATATTTCTATCTATTTCTATTTGATATCTAGATATCTCGTTCTATACAATATGTATATTAAATTCTGGTCATACTGAAATTGAAAAAAATTATTTCGCTTCTAGTTATGGAAATAAGAATAATATCGTCAATTTCTAATACAAACAAATATAAAACTTGCTTAAAATGAAGATAGTTGTTTATTGGCTGCAATTCCAATGGTAAATTATTGTATAATTTCAGAGCTAAATAATATTTGGAAGTTTAAAAATTGTAGTAGGACGTTTATCTTAATATTTTCTATTTCTTTAAAGTTGCAAAGTGAATTATTTAGGAAAAAAATATAAAATTATTCGATAAAAGGCACTGTACGGTTGGTAGTAAGTTTAAGAATTTATAAATAGGTGTGTTAATATTTCTAGTGCAATTTTAAATTTTTAGGTATTTATTATTACATGAAAATATTTATATAAAATATCTTATTACATAAATTATTATTGCTCAAAAAATATTTGCAAAATCTGCATTTTTTGAAAATGAAAACTTTATATCCTCTACCGTATCCCTCCAAGTTGTATTAGTTTTATTAAAATAAGGGACTAAATCGAAGTTTTATTAAGAAGGCCGGTTATTTTATTGAAGTCTAAAATTTTACCATCTCAATATATTCAAAAAACGATTTATATTAATGGAATTTTTATCAATTAGTGCAATATTTTGAATTTCAATAATAAATTTTGAATTATTCGTTAGAAAACTCAAAAGAAATATATTCATACTCAATCAATTTATTGTGCAAGTTACATTAGCTATCACTAATAATCGGGAAAAAAATAGATTCGCCATCAATTTTAAATCACTCAACTCGAATTTCGCTGTAAAAATACATAAAAAATTCTAATTAGCGTAATTCTTCTTTCTTGGGGAATATTTTAAATTTTACTACAAATTATAAAATATTTGTTAGTCACTAAAACATCTTCATAATCAATTACTTCATTGTGCGAATTACACTAGTTGTCGCGCTATAATCACGCTACTCAAATTTCTCTTTAAAAAATGCACAAAAAATTCTCATTAGCACAATTCTTTATTAATTAGTGCAACATTTTAAATTTCAATAACAAATTATAATATATTTGCAAGTAACTAAAAAAAAATCTTCAAACTCAATCAAGATATTGGCCAGCCAAATTCCCTGACCTGAATCCTATTGAACATGCTTGGGATGCTCTTGGGAGAGCTATTGCGATGCGCCAACCTCCCCCCTGAACAATTCTGGAGTTAAAAATTGCTCTGGTGGAAGAATGGGAGGGTCTTCCACAAGTCCTCCTTAACTCCCTTATTAACAGCATGCATACCCGTTGTGCATGCTGTCTGTCTGTCAGGGGTGACCATACACCATACTAGAGGCAACACACACTGTACAAGCCTTACTTTTATTGTCATCTGTTATCCTTAAGTTCAGACTACATTGAATTTATTGACAATAGGTCTTGCCAGTGAATGACACTTTCATTTTTGTTTCGCATACTTTATTAACCAAATTTCATTTATTTATATTCAGTATTTTTTGAGATATTTGAGAAAATGTCCTCCATCTCTTAATTTTGTCGACCAGTGTATATTCGCGATAGATTCTAAATCATTCTACATAATTTTCTCTTTAAAAATGAGTAAGAAATTCTCATTAGTGCAATTCTTCGTTATTTAGTAACATGTTTTAAATTTCAATAATAAATTAAAAAATATTTGTTAGTGACTCAAACGTCTTCGTAATAAATCACTTCAAAGGGCGAATTATATTAGCTGTCACTATACTTAGAGTAAAAAAAATATATATCCGCGACAGATTCTACATCACTCATCTCAAATTTATCTTCAAAAATGCGTATGAAATTGTAATTAGTGCAATTCTTCGTTACTTAGTGACATATTTTAAATGTCAATTATATAATATTTGTTAGTCACTCAAAAAAACATCTTCGTACTCAATCACGAATTACATTAGTTGTCATTATACGTTGAATAAAAAAAAGTATTCGCCATAAATTCTAAATCACTCTTTTCAAATTTCTCTTAAAATACTGCATAAGAAATTCTAATCTCTCGAAAACATCATAAAACGGTGAATCATTTTCGTCAGGCAAGGCAGGTGCTCCTTACTGTGATTTCTTTTTTCTTTCTTTTTTTTTTTCCTTTCCTATTTTTATTCTAAGTAGATGTTTGAAGTCAAGAAAGATCTTTAAAGTTAAAAGTCTTTTTTTATCCTCTTGCAAGGTAAGCTCATGAATAAAATTCCGAAATCTCCCTTTCAGAATTCTGCCATGGAAATAGCTATACTGGTTGGTCCAAGGATCGGCATTAGTCAAATCAGCACCATTCGGAATATAGCTGTGAGTATAAAAATTTTTCTTTGAATCGATAAATTGTAGAAAGTGACATTTATTTTAGTTTGCTTCTGCAAAGTTTTCTAAAATTTATTTTAATACAAACGTAATGCTTTTCTTTAATTAATGATAGCTTGAAATTAATATTTTCTCTATAAAGGTAACATACCGACCATACAATCTTCTATTTTCTGTTGAACTAAATGACGTAGTCTGCTTATGTTAGCCGGATCACGTTGATCTTTCAGATTACCTGGCATAACGGATAAAAAAAATAATTAAATATTGCAGATCGCGCAATGAACAACTTATTCGATTAGAGCTATAAGCTAATAAACACCACTGGTATTGTCTTTAAAATATTTGACAAAACTGAATCGATGGCTTATATTGAAATAATGGCTTCCTCTAAGCCAATGGGAAAATTCCATTTCTTAAATGTCTCCAAATTTAAAAATTTGATTAAAAAATCGAAAATCGTGCTTCGTAAAAAGTTTGTAATTGTAATTAATCAGCTTCATGTTGAATTTCGTATTCTTAGAGTCTATCGTTTACCCGCAATCAGGTATACAGAAACACAAACGCACACACAAATTCTTTATATTTTTACACGTAAAGATCAACAATTACATATTAAAAATTTAATATTAATTTATTAACAAATATTTATATATATATTTCTCTTACACGGCGACAAAAAGAGCCTCATTACCACTCCCCGAATGGCAACGCTAGAAAATCGACCAATGATTGCCGCTAAAAATGTCGCATGCCAAATCTGCTGAGGTGGCTCAACATATAGCGCTTTTAAAAACAGAAACTGAAATAACCAGAGAGAGCATTCTCACCAAGTGTGATCTGCTGATGACAACCTAAACAATATGGAAATGGATGGGGGAAAACTGGATCCTACCACGTGATTTTCCGGCCAATAAAAATACGCCGACAGCAATGGAAAACGGTGTCAGACCATTATGATTTTATGTTATATAGAGAAACGTTTTCCTATAATACTAATTTTTTTTTAAAAAAAAAAAGTTGTTATATGGATTTGAATGATTGTTTTGAATTCTTAGAATTTTGTGCATTTGCGAAGTACCTAAGTTAGTAGCGAGTGAAGTGAGCTTCGTTTGAGAAGCAAACCGTATAAGATTACGTAGCAATTTTCTGGGGTTGGCGAGCGTCAGCGAGCAGGGGGCTCAGCCCACTAGTATAATGTATTACTCCTACAAACAATTGATTTATATTTGTCACGCCGTCAAGTTAAGCTGACAACCAACTAAGTATTTTAAAAAAGATCTTCAATGTGATATACTATTTTTAACCAATCTAACCCAATCTTCATTCCCTATCAAATATAGATTTATTATATTCACATCCTGCAAGTTCATAACTATGTCACGATTTCCTCTTTATTAGTATTTCCACAAATTGCCCGCCAAATTCTTTGCATTCTTTTTTTTTCCCGTTTAGGTATATGTATATTACGAAGTGTTCGCTTTAGTTTGCACAGCCGTGTATTTCGATATTCTGAGCGCACGAAATCTCCGCATACTTGCAAACAATTCATAATGACATTTAGAATTGTAATCTTCGAGGAAATGCTATAACCTTGAACGCGATGTATATGTAAAGTATTACTAATTTCTTTTTTCCTTTACAGCCCATTAACCTTGCTCAGTTTGGTGAATTAGATAGCATAGATGTATCAAGAGAAGATGACTTTTCGTACCGAATCAGAATACGACTGCGTCATCCAGAGAAAGAGGTAGTGCAAACATTGAAGATTTTTAATAAATGCTTTGTTATTTTAGAAAACAATATAGGCTATTTGGGTTATGCTGCGTAACATAAAGCGCAAAATGGGTTTAATGATAGAATGATATTTACGAGAAATTAGATAAAATCAGAAGACTACAAAAAAGGCTTAATTTCTAGGAGAGAGCTGTGGTGGCTAAGGGGATAGAAAGTTCACCTTCAAATGAGGTGAACTGGGTTCGAATCCCAGCAATGGCTGATCGATACGAATGCCACACCTGGCTCGCACCGACCACAGTGCTGATGTAAAGTATTCTCAGTGGTAGACGGATCGTGGGAGATTTACGTGGTTTACCTCCCCATCCAACGCAAATGCGGGTTAGTTCCATCCAAAAGTCTTCCACGAAGGCAAAATTCTCCTAATACTTAATCCAGGGGTTCCCTTGTCTTCTGGATTGGGTTCAAAATTACAGGACTACGGTAGTTGAACATTGGTAGTCGTAAATTCAAAAATCATGTCGGCTGTTTAATGACGGTTATAAAATTTCTAGGAGGCAGGTCCAGTTTTTAGGAGCCAGCATATTATGATATGGAATGGCATTATGCTTTTTGAGTAAATTTTACTAAAATATTGGGCACCAGTTACGGCCGTGGCGGGTAATCAACACCTCCTAGAAGAGCGGAGAGCATCTCACAAATCACTGCTGCAATCTGATGGAAAGTCCATAAACTGCGCAGAGAGGGGAAATTAAGAATAAAATCACAATTTTAGGGCTACTAAACTGCGCAGTGAGGGAAAAATACGAAAAATGGCACAATGTTCGGGCTGCAAAGGATCGGATTTCGCGTTTCAGATAACCCGTGTGAAGACCTTTTATCTACTAGGAGGTGTTAGGGTGTTCTATCGGTGTTCGAAGACTACACAACAGACAAATAATACTTAATTATCCATTGTGACGTAACAGAAATGCATTTCCTAATATTTCTTCCTAAACTATTTACAGTAGAGCTTTCAATTAACTTTGATAGAGAACTTTAAATAGATGCTGTAGATAATAAGAGTTAGCACTCAATCTCTGTTTTATTTTTATTTACTCTTGTTTATTTTTTTATATATATAATTAAGTAATATGATAAATTATTCTATAAACAAGAAAAATGAATTCTCAATAAATTTTGGATCTATCACAAATAATGTATACCAGCATTTATTTTTCTTAGGAAGACGCATGTCATCATATGTATGTATTAAATTTGACCTGGAATTACATTTAAGAACAAGAAAAATAGAAGTTTAAATATTTCAATGAAATCAAAATTTTATTTTAAGGGCTAAAAACATTTTCTTTGTCTTCATCACTTAATATTCTTAAATAAAAACATCCATTTTAAGGAGTTAAAATGTAACAAATAACCAAACAATTAAGGGTATTTTCATAAATTAAATTAAAAAAACTGCATCAATTAATATTTATTCCCTTGTTGTCCAATGAGCTGATGGATTGGTTTTTGATTTCGCTTTAAAAAAATAACGTTAAGAACAAACAATCAACTAGAAGAAGTTCTAAAATTTTCGTCTGCTTTTTTTTATTTGATGTTGGTCTGCTTTTTTATTAATGCTTATGTTAGCCTGATTTTTTTCCTATGATTATAGTATTGAAGTTGTTCTAGTCGAAATGTGTGTAAACATGAAAAACCTGTAACATCCATTTTACAGTGACTAGAAATCAACTTTGTGAAAACATTCTTAATCCGTTGAAATTAGTGATACAAAGAAGTACCCAATATCTATTAAAAAGTCTCATGCAACAAAAAACAACGAAAAATTGTCCCTTAGTGAATACCTCCTAAATTGTGTGACGCGCAAATTATTAATCTATTAAAGAATGTTTTTAATAGATTTCGTTACTTTTATTATTATTATTATTAAGAAGGGGAAAAAATCAAAAATCCTTTTTTTTATAAAATCAATTTTTAAATGCTTCTCACTTGATTTAGAAATTATAAGCTAGTACGCTATTCAAAATGACATGTAAATGCATATTAGTGCATTGGTTGGTTAACAATTTTTCGTATTACATAATAACCTGTTTTCAAACGTATATTACCTCTATTTATAATGTCAAGTTAAACTGCGCTAATTTTAATACGAAACTAGTTTGCATGTCTAATCATGAATAAAAAGAAGAGCTGGAACTTAACATAACATTGAAATTAAAGCTTGCCTTGTGGTTTAAACTTAATAAAGTGTTTTGTATGGAAATACTGACTTATCGTCATATTTATATCGCCGCACTTTAAGAGACACTATCATAAAATAGAAGGTCAAGTTTGAATATTCAAAAAGTTTCATAATCAGATCGAAAATTTATTACTTAAACAGATATCTGTTGAAAGTAAACGTTATCTGAATCACATGTGACAAATACGTGAGTCAAACTTTAAAACAAAAAGCTGTTCTTTTAGACAACTTAAATTCAAATCAAATAATTTTACTTTCTGTCTGAAATATGTTTATATGATATAAAATTCTGCTTTTTTTACTTTGGTCTATCTTACTGATTCAGATTACACTGAGGGAAAACAAATTTCTTATGAGTGAGATTTTTTTTTTTTTTTTTTNTTTTTTTTTTTTTTTTTTTTTTTTTTTTTTTTGCAGATCTTAGATACTTTCGTATCGCTGATTTCAAATCTATAATCAGTTTCTCTCTCTTTCTCTAACAAGGGAAACTAGGGAAGTGTGACCAGCCAATTTTGAAATAAACTAGTGGGATATATGTCTTATGAGGAATAATTTTAGGGGGCAACATTCGTTTCGGCCCATAGAAGGTTCTGTGAGAGATAAAAAATAATTCAATGTATAGAAAAATCGGTATTTTATTACTTCAATGCAGACTATTAGTTATGGTAATTGTCTCATAATCCAATTAATTTGCAATTAATTGGATAATTAATTAATTTGCTAATTAATAAATTAATTAGGAAATTAATTAATTGTTGATTAATTATTAATTAATTAATTGATTTGCAATTACATACTCCAATTAATTTGGAAAGTTTTTTGAGAAAAAACT